AACTAAAAAAATAAATATTAAAATTCTCTCTCTAAAAAAAAAAAAAAGAAGTTAGTAACTTGCTAGCATCTGCTTTAATTACACCACGTAATGACTCCATTGTTACTGAATCACTCCAGACCTCAAAATTATTTGCAGTAAAAAGAACAAAGTAGAAAGAGCTTGATTAATTTCTGTGCCACAAATCTCTGTAAAAATGCTGTGAATTAGTTTAGAAGTTTAGGAGACTTTCTTGGGTGTATACAGTAACCAAAACTTAAGATATTATAGGTTCCCAAAAATGTGACCTATATATATAATTTTAGAACTTGTCATGTGATCTCAGTAAATAAATCAAAATTCATATTTTGAGAAATAAAGCAATAAAATTTCTACTTTCCAACATAGAATACAATTTTTTAAAGTTAGTGTAAATTATAGTAGTGGTAGTCCCCCCCTCCAGTTCTACATTTTGTTTCTGTGTTGTAGGGGAAAGAATAAAAATTGGAGGGGTAGTATACCATTCTAGATAAAATAAGGTAACATCAAATCGCACTTTTTTATTTGCTAGGTGTTTTGTTTGGTTCGTAAAGTATGTCTGTCTGTTCTAAATTATTTTAGATGATTTAGGATGAAGGTTTAACTTTAATATAGGCATGCTTTTAAAATGTTTTAAGTCAGCTTTTCATGACTAGAAGACCTAGGAGGAGCAACTCAGAGGAGGGAAAATTTATTTTGGCTCATGGTTTTAGAGATTCAGTCCACAGTCATCCAATTCTGTAGCTCTGGGCCCAACATGAGGCAGAGCATCATGGCAGAAGGGCTTGGTGGAGGGGAGCTGTCAGCTCCTGGCAGCCAGGAAGCAGAGGGAGAGCTGTGGTGCAAGGAGCCTGGGATAACACAGTCCCCAGGGCAGGGGCAGGCCCCAGTGAGCTGCTTGCTGCAGCCATGCCTGGCTCCCTCTACTCTGCACATTAATCCCTCTGTCAGATGGATGAATCCACTGAGTAGATCCCAGCTCCCCTAACCTAGCCATCTCACCTCTGGACATCCCTGCACTGTTTCACTTGAGTTTTCTGGGGACACCTCTTATCCAAACATGACAAACTCAAATTTTAAAAATCCAAAGTTTTACATTTAAAAGATTTGGGATTATTTTGCTCATGTTTTTTCCCTGCTTTTCTCTCTGATCCTTGCTTTTCTATTTGGATCAGGTTCTGAATTTGCCTTTTTCTAGCTAGAAACATTTAGAGGCAGGTGATCGGGAAGAAGTTTATCCCTGTGGCAGAGCATACATTAAAATCGGTGTTGATAGCAGCAACCAGGATGTGCCTTTTCCTTTGTCATTAAACCTTGGTATCTTAGTGCTTTTCAGTTGCTGATAACAATACCACAGACCTGATAAGTCATAGAGTCATAGAGAAAAGAGGTTTATTTGGGCTCTAGGTTCTGGAAGTCCAAGGTCAGTAGGCTGCTTCTGGAGGAGGCTGGTTGGTGGCGGCTCCTGCAGTAGCACATAGCATCATGTTGCAAGAGACCAGGGGGGTGCAAGTGTGGCCTCTGGTCTCTCCCACTTCTTGTAAAAACCACCAGCACTCAATCCTGGGGACCCCAGCCTGATGACCCTGCCCGTCCCTAAGCGCCTCCCAAGGGCTCCACCTCTGAACACCTTAGTTGGACTGCATTTCCCCTCCTAATCCCTCTCAGGAGGGTTGGTGTTAGTCTGTGTTTTGGAGGGGACAAACTGTATTCAAACCACAGCAGCAACCAGGGTGTGCCTTTTCCTTTGTCATTAAGGATGTGCTGACCTGGTGGATGTTAAATATTTAATCGCTGTAAAGTACATGGGTTTTCTGCTTCAGTTGGATAATAAAGCAATTTGTAAGAAACAAAACATATTTTGAAATTGGCATGAGTATCAGGCTCTAACCAAAACCCCAAAACTACTTCAAGTATTTACAGTGAAGAAAATGTAATGCAGGGGATTGTTGGTAATGAGCAGTGCTGTTGCTGACAGTCTTGAGAGGTGACCTGAAGGGTAGCAACTACAGGAGGCCACTGCCAGCCAGGCTGGAGAGAAAGGGCCCAGGGGCCAGGGCCACCAGGAGAAACTGGAGCCTTAATAACTTCAAAGCAGCTGCAGCTGCTACCAAAAAGCAGAAGCAAGGAGAGAGTTTCAGGGTGAACAGCCCTCGTGCTCTGTCCCTAGTGCTGGCTGGACTGACCTGCAGAGTTAACCTCTTGCAGAGCAGGCTAAAGCAGGCAGGCCAGGAGGAGACAGCAGACTCAAAGGCCACCTATGGCCAGTCCACTCCCTTGATCTTCTTTGACTATGTCCCAGCCCAACGTGAAACTCGGACACTGCTCTGAGACTAGGTCTTATGGACATGGGGATCTCTGGCCAGCCCTTGGTGTCCTTTCTCCTTGGTCATCATGCCCTCCCAGGCTGGTTCTAAGTGGAAGAATGTGGACTTCTCCAACATGTTGTATCTTTTGGACCAGTCATACCTGCCTAACTTGAGTTTCCTGCTACAGCCTCTCAACATTCATAAAGGGTGGTGTTGTATGGGAAGGCCTGACTTGGTCTCTTGTGCAGCTGATCTGGGAAGATTTCTCCTGATTAATTAATTAAGACTTCTATAGCAGAAACAATAGTTGAAAAAGAATAAACTTTTAAAAGTTGTTACTTCTGATACAAATCCTACACCTGACCTTGTGACAGGTCAGTCAAAACCCAGACATCACACTAAAAATACTGGGTAAAGTTATTTTTAGGCTATGTTTATGAAGTATAAATGAATTTCATGTTTTGTTTTTCCCCAAAATAGCTCATTATGTATATGCAAAATATTCCAAATTACAGAATCTGAAACATTTCTGGATCCAAGCATTTTGGATAAGTGACACTCACCCAGCACTAAGCTTTTAATTAAAAGAAATTATTGTTCTGTGCCTACTTTTTTTTTCTCCTTAGTCTGTCTTCTGTTCTCTTTAATAGCTGCGTAATGTTCCATTAGTGGGTGTACCTCAGCTCTTACCCAGGGCCTCACTGCTGGACTTTGAGAGGTTGCCAGGTTTCAGAGTGCTGTTGGGAGCATCCTCCCACATAGACACACTTGGGTGGGTATTTCTGAAGGACAGTGCTTCTCAACTAACTTGAAAATGAGTGAAAAAAAAAACACTGATGCCCAAGTTCCACTGAGACTCTTCTTTAAATCAGCATCTCTGGTGAGGGGGTCCAGAGATATGTTGGTATTTTTTAAAAGTTCTTTGGATGATTCCAAATGAAGTCAAGCTTAGAAAGTAGACTTGCTGAATCAATGATTTCTTTCTTTTTTTTTTTAATATTTTAATCTTGGTGCAGTAATCTGAGCTACGTGGGAGGCTATGGTGGGAAGATTACAAATTCTAGGCCAGCTTGGCAACTTAGACCCTTTCTCAAAATAAAAATTTTAGAAGTAGTATAGATCAGATTCCCTGGTAGGACACCTGCTTAGCACGTGTGAGGCCCTGGGTTTAATCTCTAGTAACACACACACACACACACACACACACACACACACACACTGCACATTTTAGTGGATATTGTAAGTTTTTCTTCATATTAGGGTTAGAAGGAACTCTAATTATAGAAACCTAAAATACTGTAGGCTGAAATAAGATAGTTTACAGATTCTTCTTTTTCTTTTTTTTTTTCTGCTGTACTATGATTAACACCAAGGTTTCTGCACATGCTAAAAACCATGGAGCTACATCACTAGCCTTTTCTTAAAATTTTATTTTGAGACAGATTTCACTTAGTTCCCAAGGTTGGCCTTGAACTTGCACTTGTGATCCTCCTCCTTCAGCATCCTGTGTAGCTGGGATTGCAGGCATGTGTGACTACACTCTCCTGATTTTTTTTTTTTTTTAATATATATAAGCACCTGAACATAGGTAGCCCAGGGATGGCATGCCACTTTTGTTCCAAGACATCCTGTGTTAGCCAGCTTCTAGCTCCTGTTTTTGCTAAAGCAAGGATGACTTCTGCCTTGGAGCTCTTAGCCTCCAGCTTTAAGGCAGAAGAGAAGTTAGGGTTCCTGCCGTCACATCTGTGTTCCAGGATACAGGCTGAAGGAGAGGTTGAAAGATGAAAGAGTCGAAAGGCATAGGCCAGCTACTATTTTTTGTAAGATTTCTTGAAACTCCCTCAAAACATTTTCACTTGTATGACCACATTGGCCAGCACTTGGTCATCAGGCCATCCAGCTGCAGGGAAGCCTGGGGAGCAGGTTTCCTCCCGAATGGCCTGTGCGCCTGATCCAAACTAGAGGATGAGAGGAAGGGGGACAGCAGCAGCCCCTGGTGTCTTCCACGGAAGCCATGAGAACCGGCCCTCCCAGGGGCACAGGAGTACCCATGACAAGTAGCACAGTGTGTTAACCCCGGGGAGAGGCTCAGCAGATTTAAGACCACTCTGGGACGATGCTGGAGGTGCGTGCTGAATTTTACCTTGTCCCAGGAAACCACGGAGGTGTTAAAGGCCTGTTTTTCAATTACAGTTCTTTGTCTCTCCCTGACATTTTAGCTGTCACCCTGGAGGACCTCCATTGTCTTTGGGACAGCCTTGTCATTCACTGGAGTTAGTCTGTGTGTCAGTGCTGCATCCCCTGGCATCAGGGAGGGCCTGCCAGCACCTGGCTGTGTGTTCCAACTTTGAACTTGGGAAAGGAGCACAGCTGATATGTGGCTGCTTTTAACCCGCACTCTCTGTTGTTGCAGTGGATGAGGGTCGCAGCAAGGAGCCCGACCGACTGCAGGTGTTCCACAAGAAAGCCATCATGCCTTACGGTGTCTACAAGAAAAGCCAGAAGGACCCCAGCGAGGAGGCCTCGGTGCTGCAGTACGCGAGCCTGGTGGGGCAGGCGTGCGCCGAGAGGATGCTCCTGTTCCGAAGCTGAGGGCCGCACACCTGCCTGGGTGCCTGCGCTGCGGGACACACTGCTGTCGTCCGGAACCAGACTTTCCCATTCTGTCTATCCTTGTGGCTTTTCTAAAATATTTTGTGGCAATGTATTTGTGAGAATCTCATAGTTAATATAAATATTTTGAACATAAGTTATGACCTAGCCTCATAATTGGGGTTTTTCATTTTGTAAGTTTGTTTCTTGAGCAAAATATGCTCAACTTCTGTAATTAACATTGTGGGACGTGATTCAGTCACCGTTGTGCCGTTTGTGTTCGGATAGAGAAATTCCAACTTCTCTTTCCTCGGATCCAGTGGCATTTATGATGGGGGAGCCTTAAGTGCGGGAGGAAGGTGGAAAATGTTTCCTCTCTGGAGAATAGAACGTGCTGCCACTCCGTGTTCAGTGTCCATGACTGCCAGCCTCTACTTGTGGGGCCTAGCAGAAGCTGAAAGGGGAAACGCAGACCTGTGCGAGATCTCATGTCCTAGTTGGTCCTGTTCGTCTGTCATCTTGGCATAATTTTTTCCCTAGAATAATTGTACTAGTTCTCTTTTACTCTCAGAAGTTTGAACAATAAAATATGTAATTACCTTAGTGATATATTATTTGCTTTATTTCTAAAAATCTAAGAAACAGAGTATTTAAAGAACTTTAATTCCTGCCTTGATTCTAAGCCTCATCCAAAGAAAATAGGCACTAATTTTCCATCCTTAGAACTCAGGACACTTGTCTTTGGTAATTGATGACTGGTTAATATCTGATGGCTTTCATAGCTATTCCACAGATCACTCTTAATCACCAGGAGTCACTCTGACCTCTTTGCTCCTTTTCTGGCCCTTTGATTGCGAATGGAGAATGGGTACTGCCCTTGGTACTTCAGAGCAGAGGGAAGCCCCTCTTTCCCTCTCACTCTTGTTGAGCCTCCACCCATTCAGCAGATGCCTGCTGTACAGGTGGTGGGCACTGGGCTGGGCACAGGAGAAGAATGGAGGTAGTTCCCTGAAACAGGGCGGACAGGGAGGGCTGTTTCCTGGACATTCTCTCAGCTGGGCCCCTCTTTTGCCACCCAACCTTTTTCAGTCCCCATTTTGTCCATTTTTCTGTTTTCTATTGATTGATCTTTTAAAAAGCCATGCAATAAAATTTAGTAGCTTGAATCTCATTACTGATTTTAAATTTTTCTCCCAAGATGCACTGAATTTCAACAAAACCTTGAACAGTAACCTTCAGGTAGTTAGAATAAAAAGATCATAAAACAAGGGTTTTAAAAATCAAATGTCTACAAATTCAGTATCCATGTAAACTGTACGTGTGTGTGTGTGTGTGTGTGTGTGTGAGAAAGAGATCAAACTGCTGTTTCTTGGGTCCCTTGCTAACTGGAGATGGTGGACTGAAGAAAGCCATTTTCTCTGATCACAAAAATTCTACCTTCTTCTGAAAATTTGATCCACAAAATAGCTTCCAAAAGCATTTTAGAGACTGGGGTGGAACTACATTCAGAATTAGTAGAACTTTTTTTCTTTTTCCTCTAAAATGAAGATATCTTTACTATATGGATTTCTTTAAAATAGAAATGATACTATAAGCAATTAAAATATTGAGAAAAGAAAGAAAGTAAAAGTAATCTAAAATTCTGCCATACCCAGAGAAAGAAAAAGAAGTCTGCTGTACACACATACATACCTATTTATATAAATAAAATTATGGTCTACATGCAGTTTCGGTTCAAGAGTAATAATTTAGGGATATGTCTGAAATGTGAGAGAAATTTCCAGATCAGATTGCACCCTGCCTGCCTGGTGTTCTAGGTTAGCTTCAGAGAGACATAGGGTTAAAAATGCTTCCACTTGGTTGCTGCATCCATGAGTGTGTGTTTTGAGAGAGGAGAATGTGCTCGACCCAGGAGTCCTGCAGTCTCCAAGGCACAGGCTGGTTGGTTGAAGCCTCACTAAGCAAATGGTGGTGGTGGGCTAGGAAAGGACCGTTGAGGGAAGTGACCCTGCCATGTCAGTTGAGGAGCAGCCCAGAGGCCTGCTTTTATGTTGATGGCTTTCATCTAAAGGAAGACACAGGTGAACCTTGCCAAAATAGTGGGTATCATTTACAGTCATAGTGTATTAGTGTCCCGATTTCAGATAAATTCACACTTGCCTCCCTGCCTTGGGAGCAGAGTTACAGTTTCAATTCCCCATGCCACTAGCATTATTGAAAATATTTCAGTTCTATGAGATTTTCATTTTCTTGTTAAATGTAATCTGAGCACTTTTTGTATTCTAAAGGTAGCAATTGTTATCAGATGCATATATTATTCATTTGATTGAATTTATTTAGGAAAGAAATTATTACTGTTTATGTTTTCTAGCTTATCATACTTTTCATCCGTTTTGCAATTAATAATTTCATTTGACTTCTTAATATATCAGAGCCTATTATGCAAAAGAACCTTTCCATATTTCTGAACAATAAATGGTTTGATTTTTTTAGACATTGTATTATTTCAATATGAATAAAAGAGAATATGAACAGTTAACTAAAATGTATCTATTGTTGCTAAGTTAAAAAGGAAAGAAATGAAGTGGAAACAGTTGGGAAATATTTGAATTACAAGTTATTCAAATGAGTGTTCTTTTCCTACAGAAAACCAGTGACTGTAAGGCAAAACAATTTTGATTGCATGTGAAATCTTTGCTCATGTATATGCTTTTTGAACAATCCATTTGATAAAGCTTGAGTGGAAAAAATAAAGCTGTTTCTATGTGCAGTGGTACTTTTCTTTACTTAAAAAACATGTTTTCATTTTTTAAAATCTTGACTACATTTTGCCTGCAGAGAACATACACAGACAATGGAGGTAATATATTGGCTATGTGAATTATAAAATGTAATTTTCGGTAATTGGAGTTCCAGACTATTTCATTACCTATATCAAAGTATAGTGGATTCCTTTCTTAGGAATAAAGTAAATCTCACTTTAAGCAAAATATCTGGATTTCCCCAAGATAAATTAGGACCTGGTGTTTTCTTCTTTTTTTAACCAGATGGATTTACCCATATCCATTATAATTTTCTAAAGTTTAGTTGACAGAGAAGTTTTTAAAAATGTCTCATAAACAAAAGCATAGGTAAATTGTTCTTCATAGTCCACAGCATATTGGTGGAACACATTTACTAGTGTTTTGTCTTTTTATAATGAGGAGGACCCCAATAGGTTAAAGCACTCTGATGCCATAGGAAAGAATAACAAAATGAAATCATTTTTATTCCCATCACTAACCACTACTGACCACCATTTATGGTGTATATTCTTTCAAACGGTTTTCTACTTAATACATGTCTATGTCTTGTTTTATTTTTGAAGAAAATGGGATCATACCATGTATATTGTTCATACTTTTCATCTGCTTAGTTCATAGTGACATCTTGATATATTGTGAATGTGAAAATAAATGAGGAAGTGTATAACCATTGTGATGACTGCACAATATCCCAGAGTGCTGTTGTCCTGGGGAAAGAGGGCTGACGACGCTGGCCCTCCTTAGGAGGGGTGGGAATTGCATTCCACCAGCATGAGCAGTTGTTTTAATCAGTTCTTTGTAGTACTTGGTGCCCAGAACTGAATATCTGAGCCCCTCCAGAATTCATATAGAGAATTGAAATCTTTACCTCTACTGTGCTGGTTTTAGAAGGTAGGGGCTCTGGGAGGTAATTAGTAACAAGGGCAGAGCCCCGTAAGTGGGATTAGACCCCTTATAAAAGGGGCCTTGGAGAGCTTCCTGGCCCCTTCCATCACGTGGGACCCAGCAAGAAGTCTCTTGAACCTGAAAATGGGCCCTCACCAGATCTGCAGCACCTTAATCTTGAACTTCCATCCTCCCGTGCTCTGAGAAATGTAAGCTTCTTACCTCTTTAAGCCTCCAGTCCGTGGTATTCTGTTACAGCAGCCACAGGAGGCAAGACGCTCATTGCCCTGCCCCTTTCCCTCCCACTGGGCAGCAGGAATTTCCTCTTTACCTGAAGGTTCAGAAAACTTGGAACTTTTGAGACTTGGCGCCCCTCCTCTCTTCTGGGAGGCCTATAGTACTGTTTCTAAGTTTGCCTCCTTTTAAAATTTCTAATGAAATGTCTTGTTTAAAAGAAGGTTATTTCAGGGGCTGGAGATGCAGCTCAGTTGGTAGGACTGCTTTCCCCCCATGTACAGGGCCCTGGGTTGGGTCCCCAGCACCACAAAATAATAATAATAAAATAAATAAAAATTGTTTTTTTGAAACAAATTAAGGGTCTGAATTACTGCTTCTTTAGAAAACAGGGATCTTTAAATTGGGTTTACTGAAAAATGTGGATGCCCATATCACTGTCGTTAATCTATTTGAGCTTTTCAATTGTTAGCATACATTGAGAATCTAATTTGGACTTTTATATTCTGTAGTTGTCAGAGTTGGTATCTTCTGTCCTGTTCAGAAAATATTCTCATTAACTATTTCAATTAGACCAAAACTTAAAGTTGCTGAATATATTATTTCCCAAATTCTTAGCCTTTTAGAGTTCCAAAATAATCTTGACACATATAGCTTGGTGTTCTCAATTCATCTCTTCTGTATTATGAAGAGACAATTCTAAATTAAAGTGCTGGTAAAAAGAAAGAAAGAAAAAAGAATACAGCAGGTCTTACTTTCTGTGGCATTTGCAATGGTACTCAAAAGTAAGTGTTTCAGCCCCCTCAAAAGATAGAGGCATCCTTCACTGGTCTGGCATGCATGAAGCAACGATTAGTGACTGGCACAATTTTTTTTGTTCAATGATCAAAGGATCATTAAAGTTTGATTAAATGCAGTATCAAAAAAGTGATTTTTAAAATTTATTTTAATGTTGCAACTAGAGTCATTCATTATAAGAAAAGGCATAAACGTACTCCTAACTTGCATAATTCAACTATGATTTTGGATTGAATTCTCCTTGAACTTTAATTTTTTATGCTTGTCAGTCTGAGCCAGGGTCTTAGAATCATTTAACATAGGCCTTTTTTTAAATTTAATTAGCGTTAAATGAGAACTCATGAATACTTCATGAAGTCCAATTCATCCCACTATGTTAATTCAGTATTCAGTAAGTCTGAATAGCATCTCTCAACTAATGGAGCTTTTTGATCATGACACAAGAAAAACAACACTTTAGGTTTGTCAATTCAGAACTTAAGGTTCTTAGCTCAGTGATAGATACAGTTCTATGTGCTTGTCCAAATCTTTTTAAATTGAGAGGTGGCCAGACTATAATTTGGAAGTTAACTGTTACTAAGGAGAGTTAGTTTATTAACCTTTAAAGTTATATATTATATATAATATATATATATATATATATATATATATATAGAGAGAGAGAGAGAGAGAGAGAAAGCATGTGCTTAAAACTTTGATTTTTTATTCTTTTTGATTAAAAGAAGCATCTTGATCAGGGTTTAGATTTATAAGACTATGGGAGGAATCACACAAAACTTATAAAACCATCCTGTCTAGGCTGTGGTCATTTGTTATGGTGGCTCTAAGAAACCCATACGGTATCTGTGGGCCACATGTGGATACTAAGCACTTGAAACATAGCTGGTGAGGCAGTTTTAAATTTCAATCACATTTAATAGACACATGGCCAGTGGCTACCTTACCGGACAAGGCAATCTAGTTCTGTCTTTGATTTTAAATTCCATCTTTATTTATGCAACTTAAATATCTTCATTTAAAATATTTAAAGAAATAAAAAGTTTCTATTACTAGAAAGCATTACAGTACTCTACATATGTGTGAATTTGTAGTTTCTCGTAACCAGGGGCTGTGTCAATTTCCTGGGGTAATTGCCATGTCACAATTTATAATTAAGGGATGTACAGGGATGACACTTTCTTGAAGAACAGTCTGAATTGCTGAAAGATTAATTCTAAAATATTTGCACATTATTCCTGCTATTGTATTTCATTTTTTAAATGTCGTACCTTAAATTTCCTTCCAGGTCTATTCTAGTTACATGTTACTTTTAATCAAATAGGAAAAAAAAAAAACTTTAGATTTATCATATCAGCTTCTGAATCTGTAGCAGTAAAAGTGTTTTCATACATCTCCCAAAAGAACTCCGCCCCCAAATCTGCAGAGACACGACTTTGCAAAAAGTGAGGAAAAAATAAATCCTCATTATCTCTCGCTTGAGCTGCCTAGTATACAGCTGGAGATTACTCACACAGGAAAGACAGTTCAGAAGACAGATTAGAAAGGTATAATAAAAGAAAAATAATTAGAAAGGCATAATAAAGTATTTTAGGATAATTTTAATTGCTCATTACTTTTTGGGTTTGGTTTGGTTTTGTTCCCTGCTGCAGCCTACGTCTACCCAAAACTGTATCAGTGTCTTCAACCCTGAGATCTTGAGGAATTTCAGTGGAATTTCAGGATACACGGGTGGGTTGGATTTGCACTGGTGGAGGCGCCCTGGGCACAGCTGTGTTGCTGGGAGATCTGGAGGTGCTGCAGGTGGGCAGTGGCCCTGGGAGTTCCATGCAGTGGCAGGGGGTGCCTTCTACGGTAGAAAGAATGACTCTGGCTAGTGCCCTGGTTTTCTGCTGGTTTGGGGATCCACACTGTGACTTAACATGATTCCATTTACATTAGGAAAGTAACCAGTGTGACCAACCTCTGAACCTACGGATGTTTGCACCTGCTGTAGCTGGTGATTATGCTTGAAGCAATTGGTGTTTTGGGTACTGGGATTGAACCTTGTGCTTGCTAGGCAAGTGCTCTACCACTGACCACATTCCCCAGCCCTGTTTTTATTTTATTTTGAGACAGGGTCTCACTAAGTTGCTGAGGCTGACCTCAAACTTGGAATCCTTGTACCTAGGCCTCCCGAGTAGCTGGAATTACAGGTGTGCGCCACTATGCCTCCCTAAGAAATGAGTATTTCTGATAATGCCCCGAATGTATCCATTAGGAAAGTATAGAAAGGAAGGGATCCAGTTTGGAGGGGAAGTCTGGGGAGCGGTTGACCATGGGAGCAAGTGCATTTTCATTGTTATTGCTTTGGTATTGCCTTTGTTAAGAGGTGGGGACTGTGAGGTGTCGGCATTATTGGTGTGTGATGAATGGTGGGCCTCACTTATCTATCTGCAGGTTGCCTATCTAGCACTTCACCATCTGGAACATAAATGGAGTCTCAAAAAAAAAAAAAAAAAGAAATAAAGTTGCCTCTTCACAGGTAAAATGAGCTAGAATCTGCACACCAAAGCCCATGTGTGCCTGTGGTTGGGGGAAAGAGCATGGGATTTGTGGAGCTCTCTCTCTGAAGACATTTTTAGTGGCAAAGTTTACTTTGGATAAAAAGAACTGAAAAAGAGGGTGCTGAAGGAAGGGCGCACATCACCCCCTGGCCGGCACTCACCATGTGCACGGCTGACAGCCTCAATGACCCTGCATTGCACAGTACCCCTAGGACACCTATGGGGGAGACATCCAGCAACCCACTCACCACATCACTAATGGCTGCCTCCTTCCATTTGCCTTAGAAAGCTTAGAAGGGAAAGATAGGCGTGGGAAGACAGGACTCCAAAGACAACCCAGGCTGGGTTTAAGCTCCAGGATCTCTTACTATGTCTGTGACCCTGGACAAGTGTCACAAGGTCAGCAGACCTCAGCTTCCTCCTCAGGAGTAGTGAGTGGAGCAGGCTGGTGGCCAGCTGGTGGAGGCCATGAGATTTGCTGATGTCAAAGGCTCAGCATGTGGCCT